CAAAATTGATAATAATAAAAAGGAAACATAAAAAATAATTAAAAGAATAATTTTTACATTGGTTTCTTTTACAAAAATTAAAGTTCGAAGAAATGAGAAAAATTGCTCATGTAGAATCATATATAAGGGATTAAAAATACACATATATAATTATATATGAACAATTTTTCTTATTTCGTTAAACTTGACTTTTTGTAAAAAAAAACAATGTATTCTTTTAATTATTTTTTATGTTTTCTTCTTATTATTATCAATTTTGTATTAAAGAATAATTAAAGAATAATTTTACAAAGGAAAGATACATATATGGACATAATTTGCATATAATTATATATAATTATATATGGAACTTTTTTTCCCGGAAGTGAATAAACACAACTAACTTCGAGAGCGCCTTTACGATCACGGCTGGATCTTAGATGCCTAATAAATTTTATATGAATTTTTCTGAAATCCATGTATGTACACCCGTTAAACTGCGCGCCGATTAAATGTTCGGATTTGAAACGTAATTATTAGCTGAGGCTAGAATAGAAATATATTGATCTTCCTAATCAATCAATGCGCTTATAAGTATCTTAAAATACTGAAAAGAAATATTTGATACAAATATTTGATATAATAAAAATTTGAATATTCTTGACGAAATATTCATGGAAATGTTTTTGACATCCCATCTAATCCTGAATAATCCTGAAATATATAGCTGGATGACTTATTATATGTATAATTTATATTCATTTCTACCAGAAATGAGAAATTTTGATTTACTTTTTTTTAGATTAACTTTAATGTCAGTTTTAATTTGTTTCTTTTTTTTTGTTTTAATTTTTAAAACTGGAAAAAAATAAAAGTAACTTAAACTGAAATTGAAATTAGTCTAGGTAGAAAAAAATTAATCTTACTTTAGAAAATATTCTTTGAATTAAACAGTTGACTTTGGAAAAATTGTCATACTGTAAGTTCAACAATAATTTAAGAGTATAAATTAATAATATTAAGTATTATTATTATTAATTATTGACAATCCTGAGAATAATATGTTTTATGATATTTCTAAGAATTTTTCATAGTTTGAAGATTTAAAAAATATATCTACATATATTAAATTTCTTCAGATTTTATGAGTTTTCTTTGGAAATTAATGAGAAATTTTAAAATATTTTAGAATTTAGTCCGATTAATTCGATCCGAGTTTAGCTCGGTAAGATACGGGAACAAATAATATATACATAATAAGACATAACAATATATTAAAGGACATAATAATACACACTAAACATAATATGAAAAATGATTGAATTCTACGCTCTTTTAATTATAATTGAATTTGAATAAATTATATTAAATTATTGCACAAAAGAATGAGGGAACTATAATAAGCAATTTATAATTCAACATTACAGTTAAGAAATTTGAATTGAAATATATTTACAGATTTATTTTTTATGATAGAATATATTTATCGATAGAATATTTTTAGCTTAATTTTTATTTACACAAGAAAGAAATAGTTTCTTCAAAAGTTATAAAAATATTGATATAGAGTCAAAATAGAGTGAAATAGAGTCAAAACTTTTTTTTTTAATAAAAAATCACTGGCAGTAGTCACTGGTTTCAATATTATATTATCGCGATTGCTTCGATTCTGTGTACACTTTGGCCTTTTTTTTAGGAGAATTGTAAATATCGGGACCGCTTCCCCCCGCCTCTGCACACCGTTTGCACTTCCGGATAGTATTCCCACGCTACCACACCCATAACAAAAAAAATACGATTACGGGGACGAGAGCACCTGGAGTAGGGGTACGTCTTGGAACCGCAATTCCAATATCCCCCCCAGCAAACAAAAATGGATTGAAATGAATTGAAATGGATTGGCCTTCGTGGAAATGAATGCATTTCTATAAAGACCAATCCATTTCAATCTATGGTTCGAACAATTTCAATCCATTTAAATTAAAAAAAAATTATTTCAATCCATTTCCGTTTACAGGGTATCTGCTCTCACGGATGGCACTGCACGGCGGTCGTCGAGCTTTCGGTCGATCTTCTTCGTTCGTGCCTCTTGATGTAGCCAACGCTCTAGAATAGATCTCAAGCCTACTATTATAGAATTTGTTTGGACATTAGCGATCGTGCAGGGCGGTCATCCTCGATGTCTTGTCTAGGCAACCGTTTGCACACAGGTGTCCCGGATCGTCCACTAGCTTGACTAAATTTTAAATGCAGTTCGATGCTATTATTTCTAAATAATTGAGTGAATTGCTATAACTCGAAACTGTATGAACGAATCCACAAATCAGGTACACGTAACTATTTATAATTAAATTTGTAGTTTTACAAACATGAGCATGAGCGTGGCCTGACTATTTTTATACGGCTTCTGTCTCCTGTCGACGATCTACCGGATCGACGGTCCTGTCTGGCGGCATACAACGAGAATATTCTTGTTCTACAAGCCTCTTCAAAAATTGACCGTTTCGGAACCGGCATTAAAATATATAATAGGTTCCATATGTTTGTGCATCACCTGCGCCCGTATCATATAGGCATATGAAAGTGAGATAGAAACAGGTTCTATAAGTTTATTACAGGAGAAAGTTAAAAAGTTAAGAATTTTAAAAAGTAAAAATTAATTTGATTTATATTTTTATAGAAAGAAGTGTTATTATTATTATTATTATATTTATTTCTAATGAAATTACAAATTCAATTAATTCTCACACTTAAAAAAATTTTTTTTTAAATTTTACTTATTACCTTTTCATCTGTGTCGTTATTAGGATTCATTATGGCCCTTTTGAGACCTTCCACTCTTTTATATTCATGAATTTACTGACAGTGTTACCATTCATGCAGTTTCAAAATTGACTGGACAATATGTTTTTTATTAATTATTGCGAGTGATCATTCTGACGATTTGTACATATAATTTTATTGGAAATATTTCTTTACTATGATTGAGAATAGTTCAATGTAAACTGAAACGTTTGAGTCGTCATGTAATTAATGTATTATAATTTGTAATAAGTTTTGATTTTATTTGCACTGACATCATATCTGGCTCATTGTCCTGGATTGGTTTTTTATTTAAATTTTAATATTATAATATTATAACATTACGATATTTAATATTATCAAATATTACATACCTGTCTCTTCTTTTTTGCATTTAATATATAATAATAATAATTATAATTTAATATTGAATTATTTGTTTAAAATAAAATAAAACAAAATAGAAACGGTACGTCATTTTTAAAGATCCTTCAATATAAATGTCACAATTTAAATACGAAAGAGAAAGCAAAGAGATCTCGATTTCGACCAATTTGCCATCAGGTTCCGTCAGCAGATCCTACTCGATTTCTACCGCCAATCAGTTGGCATAGAATATTACCTAATGAAGTCTGTCGATATAATAAATGCAGAATGCGACGTCAGTCAATGTCAGTCTGCCGATACCTTCTAAACAGAACTGTTGCCAGTCTGCTGACATTCCATTTTACTGTCTACTTGTATACATTTATTGCAGTTAAACGTAATTTTTGTACACTTCTACGATCAATCCAGGTGAGAAGATTAAGAATAGAACGTTTTTTAATTTTGTAAGCCCATGTATGTCAAAGTAAAACCGTTGCTTAATATTTAATTTATCTTCTCCTCTGTATCTGTAAAGCGTAAGTTACTTGGCACATTCAATATATACAGCGTATACTTCGCAGTTAATCATGTCATAATAAATGTATTATATAAGTATATTTACGGAACACTTAAATTAATATTTTTCTTTAATTATTATAATACACTGACTGATGCATATACTCATTGTCAGTTTGGCGTCTTTCCATTAAGACGCACAAACAGGATATAACAAAACTAAGCCCAGATATATGCAGACTATCGTACAAATATATATCAAGATAAAAATATATTACATATAAATGATCACAATCGTCCACTGTATGTCCGTCACAATTTACAAGTAATACGTATTATATTATAACATACAACCTGTCATATAGCAAAAGTGAATGTAGCTGTATTTAATATTAGCTACATATGAGCCTAATTTATAATGAATAGGTATAGCATTATTTAAATCGCGTTATCTAATATCTACTGTAGAATATATGTAACAGAATTTAATATCAGCTACTTATAAGTCTACTTTAGAAATAAGGTAGCAAAAAAGAAATTTTTTTATATTTTTGATTATGTATTATTATTTTTTAGAATTTATTTTGTGCTTGCATATTTTCCATTTTATTAATTACAATTGTGCATTAGTTTATAATTTGTTCTCCTCATAGCCATACAACTTTTGTCTGAAACATTTTTTTCTAAGATCAAAAATAAAAAGTTATTTGGAGTGGGACATCAAAATGGGACACCCTGTATAAGTATTTTCCCGAAAATATTTCATTGATTGTGATATTATGTTAGACTCTTCTAATATATCATATATATTAGTATTATTAGCATATTTTAAGCATGTTTATGATAGTCACTACTTATACATATGTAGCTGCCAATGTAATGTAGGTTTTCTTCTATTATAATATATACTCTTCAATTATTTAATGTAAGAATACGTAAAATATCAGTGAAGCATTTTATATATATCATTTTTTCTATCTATCACTAAAAATAGAATACAACAAAATAACCAATTACAATTTAATAACCAATTACTTATTGTTAAGTCTACAAGGTAGTTGGAAAATATGAAAGATGTTGTTTTCTAAGGTAGTTTATCCTACCTGTGCTATCTGGGTAATGTATATAAAAAATTCATTAATACATTAGTAACACTTTGATCAGCGGAAAATTTTCTTGATAAGTCTACATATTATAATTACATGTAACGCCTTTGAAGTGCTAATAAATATCGAAACGTCTTGTTATATTATATTTACCCTTTTTCATATCAACAACTTCTCATTAAATTTTGTTTCAATATTATTTATATAAGTGATGTAACTTATAAATGCATTCCGAATAGGCACAAGCAACAAATTAGCATCAGATTACGCGCGATGAGTGATTTGTGATTCGCGATTCGCTATTCGTATAAGATTCTCAGAAATTCGTTGTTAGCAGATATGATTCTTCCTAGTTTGCAATTTATAATTTGTCATTCATGATTTCTTGATGCTTCATGATAGTAATACGATAAAAATTTACTTTTATTTTAACAATTCCTATTCTCGAGAGTCTATAGGTATTTACAGAGACATTTTTTTATGATTTCTACAAACGTAAGAATGCGATTATGTATATTTACTCACAGGATTTTATTACGAAAAATTGAATAGAAGTTTTTTACCACAATAAACACATTATATCAATTTCAAGTTCATAACAATAATTAACACTCTCATTTTTTAAGTATGTATGTATAGGAACAAATCTGAATCTTTATGCACAGTATATGCTATACGCAAACAAATATTATACAAGAAGATTAGAGAATATTAGAAAAGAATCTACTAATTCATGATAATTCGCACACTATTATTTCATCAAAAAACCGCTTTTGCTAATCGATTGATAAACAATAAACTTAATAAATTTGCCCCTTCATAATATTCACGAATTATATATAAACAGCAAATTGAAAATTACGAATTTATAGTTATCACCTGCCTTCGTCGTCTCTTCCCTTCCAACATCGATTTTAACTCTTTACATGCTCCTGTTACACGTTCTTAGGACCTTCCGTTCTTTCCATCCCATCATTTTGCTAAATTTCGAACCTCTTTCTCCTACACCACAGTCAAATATTATAATAGTTTACCAGCTTTCTTCATCAAATTCTCCTTATCTGTTTTTCGCGCTTTCATGGCACGCTTTATTGCCGCATTATTTATCACCGCATACATGCACGATGGACTAACTTTTCGGGCCATATCTTCGTAATGAGAGATGTCATACGTGAATAACTCGGCGCACCTATGCGATTATAATTAATTAATGCAGAGTATATGAGTGTGCATTGTGTGCGTGAATAAATGAATGTGATGGCTGTGATGGCTCTGCGATAATCGACTTAATACTGTAAGGATGTGTGTAAATGGATGAGTGTGCGTGTACTCATGTATATAAATACGTGTGTATTTCCGCTGATATACTATTTTTTGTATAATGTCTTGCCATAAATACTTTTAAAAATTAAACTCACTTATGAACACTATACGTAATGTCAAAACAGTAGGTGTAATAGCAGCATGTCGCTGACGCCTAGCATCTTGCTATCGACATAATCTTGTATTCTTCGATATGTCTCGGTATTAGTGCAATAGCAATAAATAATAATAATAATAATAATAATAATAATTAAGGGCATATAAATTTATACATAATTTAGCTTTAGTAACACAGAAGAAATTTAAACCAATATTCTTATAAAAACTTATTTAATATAAGCGTTTTAAAAGAAAATTGTTTGTTGCTCTGTATTTCAGATTTGCAATGGTACTTGCGGAATTAATCGGGGCTTTTGTCGTTGTTCTAAGCATTGTATATATTTATTACAAGTTTGTAATATTTAATTTCTGGCGCAAAAAGGGTGTTTTTTACGTCAAACCTGTTGTGCCAACTGGAAATTTAACAGCTCTCGTAATTGGAAAAGCGCAAATAGGCGAGTATTTCTAAGTAATATTACATGCGTATGTGCAATAAATACGTATTTATTTTTATGTAACACCCAACATGTTTTATTAATTTAAATGTTTAATTAAAATTGAAAAAAGGTAATATTTAAAAGTTAAAAGTTAAGATAAAACTTATTGGCAACTATAAATTTGATAGCAATGCGATAAATTAATATGTATGCATGAAATTTTTTTTATTAATTATAGTTAATACGTATTTATTTTCATGTGTGTAACACTTAACGTGTTTTATTAATTCAATAAGTTTTACCTTGAAATATTAACTTTTTTAATTTTAATTAAACATTTAACTTAATAAAACATGTTGGGTGTTAATAGATACATGAACAGTCATCCTGTGTTGGCTCTATAACGCTTTTCCTTACTTTTCGAATCTTTATTTTTAAGAGCCTTTATTATATATATATTTTTTAAATTCAATACACATAATTGTTAAAATTTGCAATGGCAGCCCCTCATGAAGTCAGCGCAGCAAGAAAGCCAATCATTATCGTGGAAAAAAGTCAATAATATAGTGCGAAACATTTAAGAGGCTTCGATAGATTTAAGTATCGATTTAACATGCCTTTTTAAAGAGAGGATTCATTTATTTATATTTTTATGTTTATTTTTAATTGTAATAATTGTATTACTAATAAAAATTACTATACTGAGAAAAAAAATTTGTTGAAAAACGCAAAATTTATTTTATTTTACCAAAATATTTCGTCTGGCACGTTCAACTAAACGTTACTACGATGACACAAAATAATTTGTTTTTTATCGTATTTAACTCAATTGTTCTGTTAAAAATACACACTATTTATTATCCCCATTAGCATCGTTTAGTCAGTTTAATACTTGGAATTTAAACAAATATATTACAAATATATTGGATAACTAAATAGAATGCAAACACAAATAAATGCTACTAGTATTTCAAACAAAATAATTTAATTAAGTTGGATTACTTAATTCTTAATTAAAAAATTTTGTTAGGTGACATGAATAAACTATACCTTTCTTTGCGCAACTAAAAAAATGTTGAATTAACTATTGAATCAAACAACTATACAAATTTAGTTCGTGCAATAAATTTTTTTTCTCAGTGTATATTTTATTTACAATTCATTTTTATATCTAATTATTACAAATTTTTATCTTTATGAAATTAATGATTTATGCTGTTGCTTATTTTATTTTTACTTAAAACAAAAAAATACGGAATTAATTAAACAAAAAATATAATTTATTAGGTGTACTCTTCCATGATGTCTACATGAAATATAAGCATCATCGTGTTATTGGAATGTATTCACTTTTTAAACCAAACTTGTTGATCGCTGATCTCGATCTCATTCGAATTGTGTTGACAAAGGAATTCAAAAGTTTCCATGACCGTGGAATGTACTGCAACGAAAAAGTTGACCCATTATCCAACCATTTGGTTTTTATGTCTGGAAATAAATGGAGGAATATGCGTGTCAAGATGACGCCAACTTTCACTTCGGCAAAAATAAAGCAAATGTTTTCGATTCTTAAAGAGTGTAGTGAAGAGCTCGCAATGTATCTGGAGACCAAAGCGCAGATGAAAGATTCCTTTGAGATGAAAGATATGTTTGCAAGGTGAATTAGTTTTAAACAAACTGTCTTAATTAAAGAAGTTCTTTGCACGTGAAAGAATAGCAACTGCTTTATTAGAAGTAGAAGTCGTTAGTGGAAACATTGGAAACAAGAAAAGAATAAGCAACGCATTTTTAAACGAATATCCTTTTGAAAAAAGAAATTATTTGACCATTCTAAGATATATTATTATTTTAATAAAGTGAATTCACAAAGTATTATCCTTCAAATATTCCAAATTACGAAGTGCAACATATTAATTTTATTTTAATAAAGTGAATTCACAAAATATTAGCCCCCAAATATTCTAAATTATGGAGTGCAACATATTAATTTTATTACATTACAAACTTGTGATTTTCTAAATTTGTAATATCTCAATGAATATCATTTATCATTATCAAATCTTACGATCAAAATATTAAAAAACTTTACATTATCTTATATTTTTAATCTAACAATTATGAATAATTTATAATTATTAATTATAATTAATATTATTTGAAACTTTTACAAAACTAATTCTTATTATCTGATAATTTTTATTGTTGAAGATATACAGTACCTTCGAAACGTTTCCGGACAATAGCAAAATTTTTATGTTTGAAGTTTTAAGCCGTTGAATTTAATGCAGCACTGTGCTAAATCAAAGAGTAGATGATTTTATCATTTTAAGAGATACTTTAAGATAATCTGTTATTTGTATCAATTTTAAGTTTAATGCATCCCTACTACTGTAAATTCTAAAATCCGAAAGCATGTTTAACATACTAAAAATTGCAATATTTGGTCGGCATTATCCGATGTGCATCACAGGGAGTTGGCTATCAGATTTTGCACATTGTGTGCATTTGTGGGTATATAAAATACACACACATACATACACGATATGCAAAATCCAATTTCCATCCTGATCTCTGTGGTTCATATCAGGTAATGTCCACCGTACATGAGAAAAATACAAGGGTTATTTTAAAATGCTATAACTTTGCAAAAGAAAATCGTAGCGACTCGCATTTTTTTTTTAAATTAAAGAGGAAGGTTTGAACTTTATGACGCTGCAAACAGCATCCCCGAGAAAAATTCTCGCAAGTTCGTACATTCCGTCAAACATTACAATTTTTAGTATGGCAAAATGCTCTCATATTTAAGAGTTTACAGTAGTAGGAATGCATTGTACTTAAAATCAATACAAAATATCTCTTAAAATAATGAAACATCTATTCTTTAATTTAGCACATCACTGCACTAAGTTCAACGGTTTAGAACTTCAAACATAAAACTTTTGCTCGGAAACTTTTCAGGGTACTGTATATCACACAAAGATTTTTTTTAAATACTTGAAAGTCTCTTTTAACCTCCATTTCATAGCTACTTTATTTGAATCTTTCTATTAATATTATTTATTCAAAGCACTTGTGTTTCAGTAAGCATTCTTTATTTTACTTGCTCGTAAAGTTTCTCATGATTTCAGATGTTTTGCAAAGAAATTTGGCAGAATCTGCTAAAATTTATTAAAAATTATGTATCACTTTTATCAATAGATACTCAACGGATGTAATTATGTCAACAGTTTTTGGTATTAAATCTAATTGTATTAAGGAGCCGAATAACGAGTATCGGATTCAGGGAAAAAAAATTCTCGAAATAAATCCAATTTGGACCGCCTTATTCGTGTTTGTGCCACAAATTATGGATATGTTTTCTATCCCCTTCTCTGACCGAAACATCATCAGTTTTTATATGAATATATTTCGACAAAATGTAGAATACAGGCAAGCTCATAACATCATCAGACATGATTTTATGAATCTGCTTATTCAGCTCATGGAAAAGGGCTATGTTGAACCTGATGATGACGAAAAGGCCACCAATATATCATGTTAATATATAAATTTATTTATATACTTTTATCAATAGTTTTACTATTTTGAAAGTTTATATATACTTTTTCGCGTTACAATTTTGTAAATTAAATAATTAAATCTTTTTTAACATGAGTATATATGTGTGTGTGTATACATATTTGTATACAGGATGTCTAGTAAATCACCTGCAATACTTCGGGAGGTGATTTGGGGTCCAAAAAGAAGGAAAAAAGGTTATAAAAACAAAAGTCCGAAAATAAATTGTTTCCGAGTTATAACTCATTTCTATGTTAAAAAAATTGTAATTAATTTTTTATAATAATAATAACAATCATAATTTATAATAATGATCATAATTAGTCACAATAATTCATTTTTTTACAGGATTCACCGCGTAGTTCGCTTGGCAACCTTCTTTTTAAATTTTTTTAGTTTTTAATTTTTACTTCTTTTTTCAGTTTCTTGATACCTATTTGTATAAACATAAACAGTTATTCAAATCGAATTAAATATGATGTTCAAAATGATCATCTTCAGCATAAATGCAGGCCCTTATTCTTCTATAAAAGAAATTACGAATCTTTGAAAACCATTTGGATCCTTCCGAATTATTATAATTAACATTTGATTAACCAAATTTGATTTAAGTATCTGTTAATTTATGTTTATCCTTCATTCTAAAAATATAATTGTATCTACAAATATAGAGAAATTGACAAAGATAATAAAAATTAAAAATTAAAAAAATAAAATACAGGAATCCCAAGCGGACTATGCCGTCACATGGTGAATCCTGGGTATAAAAATGAATTATTTTGATCAATTATGATTATTATTATAACTATAATTATAAAAAATGAATTACGTATATTTAATTAACATAAAAGTGGTTATAACTCGGAAATGACTTATTTCCGGATCTATGTTTATGTAACCTTTTTTCCTTCTTTTTAGGTCCTGAATTACTTCCCGAATTATTGCAGGCAATTAACTGGACATTATACATATACATATATATACTCGGCGTCAAAATTAAAGGGTCACCTATTCTGATCACTAAAAATAGGCAAATTTCAAGAGAGTGTAACTTCGTAAAAAATGATCGTAATAGAATGATCAAAATAGCATTTTACAGCTTAAAGTCTCTACTTTTGAAATCCATAATTCATTAAATGACTTACTGATTCTT